GAAATTACTTTGGGAAGTAGAGACCAGTTCCTGGTTTTCCTGAGGGAAAAGGAATTGTCTTATTTTTCTTGAAAGAAAAAGGAATTTCTGTTTTTCCTGTGGTTGAGGCATGTTTCCCTTTTCCCAAGGGGAAAGGGAATTTCTGGATTTGGTGAGGGAGAATTTGGTTTAATTTTCCTCAGGAAAAGAGAATTTCTGGCTTTCCTGAGAGAAAGGCCGGTTCCTGGATTCCCTAAGGGGAAAGGAAGTTTCTTATTTTCCTGAAGGGGAGGACAATTTCTGGTTATTCTGAGGGATTGGCCAGTTTGTGGATTTGCTGAGGGGAAAGGAAATTTCTGCCTTTCTGGCAGGAGGGGCTGAGTTCTGTTTTTACTGAGGGAAAATGTTATTTTGGTTTATCCTGACCCAGGGAGCAGCCATTGTATTCACACAGTTTGAAACCATAACCCAGATGTTTTTGCCTCTTTCTTGCAGATCTCTAGCCATGGCGGAGGGGGAGAGGCCGAGGCTGCTCCGGCTGGTGCAGGAGGGACGGCTGGACCTCCTCCAAGAGGAGCTGCAGCCGGACGCCACGCTGGGCCCGGGGGTGCAGAACCAACACTATGGACGCTCGGGGGACACGCTGCTGCACTACGCTGCCCGATACGGGCACCGGGATGTCCTTGCCTACCTGGTAGAGGCGATGGGGATGGACATTGAGGTATTCAATAGCGACTACAAAAGACCCCTCCACGAAGCAGCCTCCATGGGCCACAGGGAGTGTGTCTCCTACCTCCTGGAGAGAGGTGCGAGTGTAGACTGCTTGAAAAAGGCAGACTGGTAGGTCACTGGCTTGCTTTGCTGTGGGACAGAGCGATATCTGAAACGGGGTTTGGATGCAAAAGGTGGGAATGCAACTGCAGGAGCCCTCACTTACAACTCTGGAATCATAGAGTGGTTTGGGTGGGAAGGGACCTTTTCAAGGCCATCTAGTCCAACTCCCCTGTGACAAGCAGGGACATCTTCAACTAGATCTGGTTGCTCAGAGCCCTGTCTGACCTGGCCTTAGAATAACAGAATTGTTTAGGTTGGAAAAGAGCAAAAGGTGGGAATGCAACTGCAGGAGCCCTCACTTACAACTCTGGAATCATAGAGTGGTTTGGGTGGGAAGGGACCTTTTCAAGGCCATCTAGTCCAACTCCCCTGTGACAAGCAGGGACATCTTCAACTAGATCTGGTTGCTCAGAGCCCTGTCTGACCTGGCCTTAGAATAACAGAATTGTTTAGGTTGGAAAAGACCTTTAAGATCATCAGGTCCAATGTCAACCCAGCATGGCCACGGCCACCACTAACACCT